TTTGGAAATGGAATTTCTTTTTATTTTCTAGGCAGAGATCTTCACAAGGGTCCTTCAGAGCGAGGAGTACGAGGAGAACGAGGACAAGACCGTCATGGCTCTAGGCATCCTCAGCACTATAGACACCATCCTTACCGTCATGGAGGATCACAAGGAGGTCTTTAGAAAAAAAACAATATATATGCAAATGCAGAAATGGTTATATTTTACTGCGTCTGAACCGAACTGAAACGCTGACTTTGATGTCTCAGATCACCCAGCAGCTGGAGGGGATCTGTTTGCAGGCGATCGGACTGGTCCTGCAGAAGCCCATCATAGGTATGGCCGGTGTGTGTTGGCGGGCAAACGGACCGTGTTTTCAAGCTCATTAATGAACTATTTAGGTTCTTGCTGACTGGGCAGGAAAACCTAAATAGTTGTTTCAGCTTCCACTTCCTCTAAAAACACAAAAGGTTAAGACATGGGATTTACATGCAGCATTCCATTAAAGATTTCCACAGCCAATTTAACTGGCAGAGCGCCTTTAGCTTTAAGTAAGGACACTGATTTCCATCCAGAGGTGCTTTCAATTTTTGGTTTTAAGTCTAACCCTTTTTGACGTGTTTGACGCACACCAAAAATGTTATGTTATGTAAAGTTTATGTAATTTTTTCTTTCTTTTTCTTTTTTTTATAAATTACTAAACAAAAGCTGCTGTTCTGTGTCTCTGGGATGAGATGTATTTTAAGGTATCTTAAACTTTGTTTGAACTGCTTGAAAACATGTTTAGGTTTTTCTAAAACATTTAAAAAGGCTTATTGATCGTTGTAACTTTTCATTATTTTCTCTAATGCCAATTTAAGATCGCAAAAATACAACAATAAGTTAACTTTTTTCATTTCAAATATCCATTTTAATGTCTCCATTGCTGATTCTGGATGAGTGAAAACTTTACTTGTATTTTTACATTCGCTTGTTATTTACTTATTTTCAATTCTAAAATTTGCATTAAAAAGCTGATAATCATGAA